AACAATAAGATCATCATCTTGCGCCAAAACCCTTAAAAATAAAAATAAAATGAATACAAATATATATCTCATAATGTTGATCACCAATCTTAATATCACTAACAAGTGATTTGAATTCTATTTATAGTTTTTGTTTATTGGAATCACTTCTTCTCTTTCGTCCACATTTTTGATTATTTTGAATTGTTTTACAAACAATTTTATTTTTTAAACATTGTTCACAAGGTTTTTCCTCATTACATTTTATTTTTTTTTGTCGACAAGACAAACAGGCTGAAAAAACATTTAACTTTCTCATGTTTATATTTTTATTTAAACTTGTCTTTGTCTTTTTTATTTTTTTTAAATCATTAAAATTTAATATTTTTATTGGTTCATCATTTAATGAATGAAACGAATTTTAATAAAGCCAGAAAAGGAACTTACAGAAAATTTTTGAACCAATAATATATTGATAATAATTTTATTTATAATAAATAATATAAATTAAAATAATATACATAATAATTATTCTTTTTTTATATCCATATTATCATCAGAATCTTCATCGTCATATTCACTATCATTTAAATCTAAACCTGTGATACTATTAATTGCATCACTTAATCTTTTGTTTTCTTTTTTTTTACGTTTTTCACGTTCAATTTCTAAAATTTCACTAGTTTTTCTAAAATTATGAATACTATATTTTTTTTGAGAATTAATAGAGTAAATTTTTGTTTTCTTTGTTGTTTTTCTTTTTTTTACAGGATCATAATAAATAATATATTTCATTGGATGTGTAATTAAAAAACAATTAGTTCCGGGAAACAGATATTTTCTTTGTTTTCTTTTGTAAGTTACATCAACGCAAATAATGCCTTCTGGAATATTATCTTCTTTATCTTGATTATTTAAAAAAAATAATCTTGCAGAATTATCTTCACCCTCGATAGTTTCAATTTTAATTTTAAAAGGTAGATTTTCAAATTCTTGAACGTCATGATCATATTGTAATTCACCTTTGTTATTGTATTTTCCAACGTTAATAGCACCAGCTAAAGACATTTCTGTTTCTTTGTAGTAAAATTTTTTTTAGTATAATAGAATTTTTTTTTCGATTTTACTTTCATTATTTTTTTTTTTTAGTGAAATTATATATTCACTCTTTTGTTTTATAGTTTAACTAAATAAAGAAATTCATTATCAACTACATAGCTGATAAGAAAGATAAAATAAAGCCATTTTATTTTAAAAAAAATAAATTGTATTTATATATTTTTTTACAGATTTAGTAAATTCATACAAATGATAATTGATTTATTGATTTGATATGATTGTGATTAATTTATTGATTTAGTAAAATCATACTGATTATTAATAAAGCCAGAAAAGAAACTTACAGAAAGTTCTAATTTCTTATCTTTTGATCGAAACAAAAAAAAAAATTCACTTAAAAGTTTATTTATTGATTTGGTAAAATCATACAGATTATCAATAAAGCCGTACAGAAAGTTCTAATTTCTTATCTTTTGATCAACATAAAAAAATTCACACAGATTTTAATAAAGTCAGAAAAGGAACTTACAGAAAACTTTTAAACCAATAATATATTCACTCCTTTGTTTTATAGTTTAACTAAATAAAGAAATTCGTTATCAACTATAAATTGATTTATTGATTTGATAAAATTTCTTATCTTTTGATTGAAACAAAAAAATTCACACAGTTATCTAATAAAACCAGAAAAGGAACTTACAGAAAGTTCTAAATTTTATCTTTTTGATCGAAACAAAAAAAAAAAATTCACATAATGAGAAAGTTCTTTTGTTCTAACAAATCAAACCATAAAAGGAATTTTCATACAAAATTATTTCTTGGCAAAACTGCGTATTTATTTTAAAACAAATTTAACCATAAAAGGCAATAGTATACAAATATTTCGAGAACATTCTTTCAACTAACAAAATTATAATGTTCGAAAATAAATAAAAGAGCAATTCAATTTTCTTCATAGCGATTGTGTTTAATCACTTACAAATCTTCACAAATAAAATTACAAATCAAGTCTTTTTAAAATGTTTCCAAAAATCTTTGTACTTTTTATTTTTTTCTGTGTTATCTTTGGTTTGTTTCTTACAAACCTTTTCGAAGGTGAATATCAAATTGATATTTACCAAGTTTTTAATAAAATACGTTCATTAAAAATACTTTTTGGTGTTTAGTAGTTACTATTTATTTAGTAACTACAATTTCAATTATCGCTTTATATTCTTTTTGGTTCTGGAATTCATTAATAAGAACTTTTCCAGAATATTTTATATATTAAACGAGTTTTGAATGTTGAAAATTGCTATGATAAAGGAATTGTTGACTTTGAATTTTCGATACTTTCAATGGTTTCTTCGAATTAAAGAAGAAACAAATATTTACATATTTGACGAAAAAAACTTCATCAATAAATACGAATGGAAAAGATTGCGATTTGGATTCCAGTACAAAGAAACAATTATTTCTCCTTTCTCGAAAAAGTCTTTCTCAACCGACAAGCCAAGACTCCAAATATATTCCTGAAGCATCTAACCGAAGAATTGGTATGGAATTGTTGAAAAAAGTACTTTTCCACCAACAAAATTGAAGTTTATATAAACTTGTCAGACT